TGCCATATTCAAATACGAAAGTTGAAAAAAAACGGTGAAAAATGTAGCTAAAATCATCAAAATACATTATATTACCTCCCTATATACTATATTTTGATGATTTACATTACATCGGAGTTATCCGAAGACTTGGGCCTGCATAGACAATTTTGCAAATACGACATCTCAAATGATTTCGGTGAATATTGTACCTAAAATCGTCACAATGCCGAATATAGGGAGGTACTAATATATGGGGGCTATACGAAGGCCTGGACGTGCATAGACAATTTTCTGTCACAAACTGTAGTTCCCATTACAAACTCCAAATACATAATTTGAAACAACTACGGTAAATAATGTCCCTAAAATCATCAAAATACCGAATTTCGGGGGGTACCGTTATATATGGGCTATACGATATCGTGGATCTATTCCATGGGGTAAAATGCTTAGAAAGAACTTTAAGTATGCAGGGCTAAATCGTCGTAGAATTTTACGCTGATCAAGAATATGTATATTGTTGGGACTAAAATTATTATTTCGATGAGTTACAAACGGAATAACGAACTTAATATACCCTCCATACTATGTATGGTGGAGGGTATAAAAACATTAAATTAGGCCGGGTAAAGAAAACATTTTTATATAAAAGTATTTATATTCAAACGTGTTCTACTTTAAACTGCAAATATCTTACTGGTATAAATAAATAAATATTGAATAAATATTAAAAAATATTGAAAAATGAGCTTGGGGCAAAGCAATTGAAATTCCAAAAAGTGCAAGTACACCGCAACAGAAAGGAAATAGACTCAAAAGAGCTAAAGAGTTGCTTCGCTTGGCCGAAAGTGGTGAACTGCCTAATTTGGGTTTCTCCTTCATTTATTGTCCAGCAGTTTGTAAACTAACAAAATGATGGTGTTTATTTTCCAAAGAAATCAGCTGAAAATGTGCAACTTCGGTTGGCCACCAGAACTCAAGCGCCGGCCATGGTGATTGTGTGGGTCGCCATAACAGCCGATGGACGATATCCGCTCGTATTAATCAACCGTGGCATCAGAATAAATTCCGAATATTATTGTGAAAATATTCTGGAGAGTGTATTAAAGCCTTGGGCACGCAAGCATTTTGGTCGCAGACCTTTTCCAAAGAGGTCAGCTGAAAATGTGTAACTTCGGTTGGCCACCAGAACTCAAGCGCCGGCCATGGTGATGGTGTGGGCCGCCATAAAAGCCGATGGTCGCTCTCCGCTCGTATTAATCAACCGTGGCATAAAAATAAATTCCGAATATTATCGTGAAACTATTCTGGAGGGTGTATTAAAGCCTTGGGTATGCAAGCATTTTGGTCGCAGGCCTTGGACATTCAAACAGGACTCAGCTCCATCGGACTCAGCACGCACGATGAGCCTCAAAATGAGGTTCATCGCTTCATTTCCAGCGCACAATGTTCACCAAAATCTCTGAATACCAATCTATTGGAATATTGTGTCGGGGTAATTTTGAAAAGCAAGGTTGGTAGTAAAAAGTGTCGATCACCTCAAGCTCATCGCGGGAATGGGCCAAAATACAGCAGAGCAACATTCGGGCGGCGTGTGATGGTTTCATTGGCCGTATGAAGGTCATAATTCGTGCCAAAGTTGACCAATGCGAACAAATCTAAACTTATTCTAAAATGTGATGCTATTTTGTTTTTGTTTTAAATTTAAAATTTAATGTCGACATAACGATGCCCGTCCGTCTGTGGAAATCAATCGAGCTTTCGAGCAAAATGAAGTAGATTGATAAAGTTTTACTCATATGCATGTTAGGTCTGCAGGACTTTTGGTATTGAAAATGGGCTATACAGGTTCACATTTGGTATATATGTCCATAAACTTTACCGATAGATTTAAAGTTTTATGGGTGTTTCACCCACAATTTTTAGAATTTTCGGCGCGTGTTCCCATTATATCAAAAGAATATAACTGTCAATATATGTCTAAGTTTTGCTATAGTCCCTATATAACTTTACCTCCTGATATTTGATATTGTGATAATTTGTGTCACACTTTTCACCGGAAATGTTTCAAATTTGGAATTTTAAACTCTTAATGGGTTCATGTAACAAATTGTCAAAAAAAATTGCTCGTAGAAGTCCACGTCTTCGTATGGGTCCCATATTGTGGTACCTCCCCTATATTCGTTATTTTGATGATTTTAGCGTATTATTCACCGGAATTGTATCAAATTTAGTATTTAAAGTTTCTAATAGGTACTACCGTCCTGTGACAAAAATTGTCTATGCAAGTCCATGTTTTCGTATAACCCCCGTATATAATACCACTTCGATAGTCGGTATTTCGATGAGTTTAGAGAAATTATTCACCGCAATTGTTTCAATTTTCGTATTTGAAGTTCCCAATGATTGATACAGTCTATGACAGAAAATTGTATATTCAACACTAGATCATCGTATAGTCCCCATAAAACGGTACTTCTCTATATTCGGTATTTTGTTGATTTTGGAAGTATTCTTCAACAATTTTTTTTTTAATTTGCAAATTCCTTCCAAAAGGTGGAGGTTATTCAAATACAGGCAAGGAAAGGAAGAAATCTACTGTTTTGATTTCATAAGGTTTAGTGGGTCCTTGTAGAGACCCTGGCTGCGAATGAGCTTACCCCAACTGAGTAATTCCATTGTCTATCAAATTTCATTAATCTATATTAAAAATTCCACAATACATTTTTCAATATGGAATGTGGAAGCAAATGGCGTGTTGTACTACTGGACTAATACTATCTTTTAAATTTCCCACCCTCAAGTTTATGACCCTACAAAATTTCCATATTTAAATTTAAAATATCTTAATTTTAAAAATAAATATCCAGTTTTTTGTAAAATCCAACAACATGAATACAAATAGAAAGTTACGCCCTTTTCAAAAACCAGACCATCAGGATATGGTGTTCATGACAGCATGCAATTGCTCGAACAAAAAAAAAACAGCACTCCATTTGAAGGCTAGAACAAGCCCTACAGAATGTGGTTTCCTTTGTTGAATATTTAAAAAGGTTTCAAATCCTTCTTCTTTGCAAGATATGTTCGAAAAAAAAAGAAAACAAAACCAAAAACATTGGGCAGGTGGTTTCCACCAAAAGTTACTGCCTCTTTTGGCTTAGCAGTCAGAATATTTGAGTTTTTTCCTTTTCCCGTTATTCCACAACAATATGCAAAAGTCTATGAAGGATTCAATTATAAACCCTCCCTCCGCCCACACAAGGATTATGCTGGTGGTAGGAGTCCGTGATGATTTGCCTTTGCACATTGTTTGTTTTTTTTTTTTTTTTCATTTTTTGTATAAATTGAAAGAAGGTTGTGGCTGCTTTTGACTATATTTTGGTATTCGGCCAAAAACAATAACTTATGTGTTGGGCAAAAAGGCATTAAAAACAATTGCATTTGGCAGTTCAAGTGCTTAGTATGTAATATTGTTTTTTATTCCTTTCGATATTGGCTTGGGTAGGAGTTGTGACTTTATAAGAATTTGGGGGGAAGGCTTAGTGAAGTTTTGGTTTTAATCATTGAAAAAGCTGAGAAACACATATCAATTTGTCGAAATTTGTTTTTGAATGGGGTTTCATCATAAATTTCATAAACCTATCATGAAATTTATGATTCCGTATAACTACAGGGTGAGATAAAAAAAAACTGCAACGAAGTCCAACACCATAATTTTTAGATTTTTTTTTTTTTTAAATTTTATTGAATGAAAGCAAAAAAACTCGGGAATAGCATCAAATTTTAGAATATGTTTAGATTTGTTCGAATTGGTCACGTTTGGCACGATTTATGGCCTTCAAACGGCTAATGAAACCATCACACGCTGCCCGAAAGTTGCTCTGCGGTGTTTCGGCCAATTCCTGGCGAGGCGCTTGCTTGAGGTGACCGACACTTTGGTATTTTTTTAGTGCCAACCTTGCTTTCCAAAATTCTCCAGACACAATTGCCTAACGGACTCTAGATTTTGGATTTGAGCGCTGGAAATGAAGCTAGGAACATCCTTTTTAACAATTCTTGGGTGACGCGTGCTGAGTGCGATGGTGCTGAGTCCTATTGGAATGTCCAAGGTCTGCGGCCAAAATGTTTGCATGCCCAAGGCTTTAATACACCCTCCAGAATATTTTCGCGATATTATTTTGATGCCACAATACGAGCGGAGAGCGACCATCGGCTGTTATGGCGGTCCACACCATTAAAATGGCCGGCGCTTGAGTTCTGGTGTCCAACCGAAGGTGCACATTTTCAGCTGACCGCTTTGGCAAGTAAATGCGATCAAACTGCTGGATAACGAATGTTTTCTCATCGAAAAAACAAATTTTGCAGTTCACCACTTTCGGCCAAACGAAGCATCTCATTAGCTCGTTTGAGTCTATTTTTTTCTGTTGCTGGTACGAGACTCAAAATATTTATTCACATTTAAATGATATTTCTATTCTAGAGATAGCCACTTGTGGTGTTCCTGCCAAATATAAAGAAATCACAATATCCCGCTTGAATTCCACCACGAATAACTTTATTTCCGGAAAAATCTCACTAAAATGCTTTTGTACGCTTATAAGCAATATAATGGGCTGTCCCTGGAATAGAAATCACAACAGTCTGAAGTTGGTTGCAGGTTTTTCATCTCGCCCTGTACTGGAATTAAATTTTTATTGGCCAAATTTTTTGAAATTGCTTTAAGATAAATTGACGTCATGTATATTGTCCCTCACTCCTAAGCAACCTTAGCTGATTTTTGGGCTCCCAATTTTCACTAAAAAAATTAAAAATGGACGACCTATTATTTTTCAATTAAATTGCTTTTCCAGTTTATATTTTCAACCCCCATTGGACCAAAAAAAAAAAACAATTTTATCCTCCATTATCACTTTCATTGTCCTTCAAAACTATAATAATTTCCTTGTTCTTATACTTCGTTAATCCCAAACAATCATCTTTCTTATTTCATTATTTTTGTTCTTCTCCTTTCATTACAGGTTGTGCTTTCTTAACATATTTTACTCCAGATAGCACCACGGCGTCTACCTCACCAACTGCCTTAACAACAGCAGCAGCTGCAACCATTCTAAATGATAAACAAGCTTTAACAGGGGTAAGTAGAACAAAGACAACAGCAAAAAATAGTTCGCCAAACGCTTTTGTGTTTTTGTTTTTGCGAGGATGTTATTAATATCCTGAACAGCTTTCTCCCCACCCCCCCTCTTTTTAAGAAAAACTCAACACAACACACCACTTTATCCTTAAGACACATTTAATACTTCTTTCTTTTCGTCTTAGATATACGAATTTTCACAAATTTCCCCAGAATCTAGTAATTAGAGTAGAGGAAGTTTAAAAATAGCAAAGAAAATTATTTCAATAAGCTATAGCAGTAGTTTTTCGATTGTTTTGTTTAATAATTTTTAAAACTTTTTTTCTGCTGACTATCTTTTATTTGTGTTTCATTTGATGCATGCTACTTTTTTGATGATAAAACTAGAGTTTTCACTGCTGAACATTAATTGTTATTTTATTCTCATTCAAAATAATCGATATCTAATATTGAAGACATATTTATATACATTATTATTTTTATATAATTTTGAAGACATATAATGATACTAATTGTATCAGTTTTAATGCAAAAATTGGAGTCGAGCATTGAAACTCATTCCAGCAATCGAAATAGGATTTGTACAACGGTATACTTCATTTTTGTTAAATACTTCGATTTTGCTGTATACATTATCCAATGTTAACATAACACATACATTCTTTGAGATGGAATTTTTGGTTAAAATTGTAAAATCTTGAGTTTCTATAACTTTTGTGCGATTTTTGAAAATGATTAGCTTTATCCAGCAAAATTCTCAAAAGATTGATTTTAAAAGGATTTCATTCGAAATTATTTCCACATTATTGCAAAGAAGTACTGTTGAACCTTATACTTTTTTTTAGATCTTTTCCACTTGCTGATTTATATACGCAACATACAAAGTAATACTTAACAAGTAAAAAAAAAAAATAAATAAAATCCGTTTAAATCTTAAAAATACCGAATGTAGGGTCTATCCGATGACATGGACCTGCATAGGCAACTTTTGTCTGAAGGCCACTATAATATTATAATGCGAAACTTGAAGGAAAACAAGTAAAAAAGCAGTAAGTTCGGCCGGGCCGAACTTTGAATACCCTCCACCATTTGGAACGAATTAAAAAATTAAAAAAAAAAAAAAAATAAAATCCATTAAAAATTCTTTTAAAATCTTTAAAATATCTAATATAGGAAGGTGCCGATATATGTGGGGATAAAAGATATTGTGAACCTATAAAGACAAATCTATGTCTGGGTGTAAAGTACTCACAAGGAACTCCTTGTGTGGATTTTCATATAATTTTATTGGAAAAAGTGGCTAAGATAATCAAAATACCGAATATAGGGAAGTAGCGTTATAGGGGAGATATACGATATTGTTGACCTATATAGACAATTCCGTTTCAGGGGGAAAAGTGCTCACAAAGAAATCCGTGTGTGGATTTCAGATAATAATATTGGAAAATTTGGCTAAAATCATCAAAATACCGAATATCGCGGGGTATCGTTATATGGGAGCTATACGATATCGTTAACCTATATAGAGAATTCTCTGTCGGGGGGTAAAATGCCCACAAAGAACCCATGTGTACAAAGAACCTCTGTGACCATTCCGTTGAAAAATGTGGCTAAAAAACATCAAAATGCCGAATATCGGGGGTACCGTTATATGGGGGCTATACGATATCGTGGATAATTCTCTGCCGAGGTATAAAGTACCCACAAGGAACTCCTTGGGTAAAATCATCAAAATACCGAATATCGGGGGGTACCGTTATATGGGGGATGTACGATATCGTGGATATAGCACATCTTTGAACTTGACCTGCCTGCAGACAAAAGTTTCGTTTAGACTGTAGCGTTATTACAACAGACGGACGGACAGGGCTAAATCAACTTAGAATTTTACGCTGATCAAGAATATATATACTTTGTTGGGTCTAAAATGATTATTTCGATGAGTTACAAACGGAATGACGAACTTAATATACCCTCCATACTATGTATGGTGGAGGGTATAAAAAACCATTTTCAATACCAAGTCATGTAGATATAATAAACGTTTTTATTAAAATTTTATCAACCTACTTAATTTTGTTCGAAAGCTAGAGTCATTTCCACAGACGGAGGGGCACAGAATTTTATGCTGATCAAGAATATAAATATTTTGTGGGATCTAAAATATATATTTCTTTCCTGTGGTGAAGGATATAAAAATGTGATAGAATTTACTTTCGAAATAAGACTCCTAATCATATAAGTTTGAACTTATAACAACAGTATAAATTTGTGCATGGGGAGCACAACGAAAGCGAAAGGAAATACAAACATTTCATGTAAATTGCATTTTTTATACCCTACACCACATAGTGGTAAGATTATTATGTCTTTGTGCATTTGTTTGCAACATGGAAAAGGAAACGAGATAGAGCCATATTTACTTTTGAAGATTCTCAAAGAATCACTTTCTGTGTCGATTTACGCATGTCAGTCATTTAATCTGTCCGCCCGTCTGTCCGTATATTTTTTTTTGAACAAAATGCTGGTCACATTTATTATCGGATTGAGATGAAATTTTCCAAACAATATTTGTTTGGCCTAGAGACGAACCCTATTAAAATTGATAAAAATCGGTTCTAATTTAGATTTAACTCCCATATATATCTTCAACCGATTTCGGGTTAATTGTGCTCCAAATGGCCAATATGAGTCCTAATTATCTCAATTTTCAGATATAGCTATGGCTCCCATATATACTTTTTGTCAGATTTGCTGTTTAAGTCCCTCACATGCGGAATATTAACTCCACAACAATAATCTTTGGTACCAGATACCAGATGCAGCTAAAAGCAAGTGCTTCAGATTTTAGTCAATTGGTTCAGATATAGCTACAGCGCCCATATATATATGCTTCATCCGATGCGTAATATGCACTTCACAACAATGATATTTGATACCGGTCATCGGATACTGCTCGAAAATGCCTCTACCAAATGTCATCGAAATCGTTTCAGATTATTATATAGCTTCGATATACATTGCATCCTATTTTACTGTTATTGCTCACCATATATGTAATATCAGCCCATATTGAATACATTTTTCACATTCAACCGAATTTTACCACTTAGTGAAACTCGGTCCGGTATACCTATTGCTCCAATAAAATTAATATAATTCTTATCTTTGTCATATCATGCACTATGCAACAATGTTTTTTGGCGAATATTTGGTATGATCTACTTCACATAAATTCCCAATATAAACGTTTTTGTTAAGGGAGCTCTACAAAATACGCATAGTGGTTTTATGTTTATGTAACACATGTTTAATTCAAATCGAAATCTCCCTTTATACTTAATTTTCTAAATTAAAAATTGAATTTAATTGAAAGTCTGCGAACTAAAGAAGTTGACATATTCAATATATGCTACGAAAACATATCATCAATTTCTTTAATAAACAAGTAAGCAAAGGCTATAGATGTGCGGGGCCGACCATGTGATACCCTACAACACTACAATGTTTTAGAAGCCCCATTTTGGAAGATTTCGCTTATGTCCAGGTATTTCCCTTAGCTTTTTGATCAGGGGCATGGCCATCTAAATTGAAAGGGTCCTACCCAGCCCTAAGGTCCAGCCCCATTCTAAATTCTGCGTCGATTGGTAGAGCACTGTCCAGATATTACCCTTAGATTTTTGATCAAGGACATGACCATCTAAATTGGAAGGGTACTGCCCAGCCCTAAGCTCTAGCCCCATTCTAAATTTCGCGTCGAGCAACTGCAAAATCAGGATATTTTTTAGTTTTTGGTTCATTTCAACCCCTAAATATTATGCGATCTTTTTCAATTTCGTGAGGATCGGGCCATAATTGCGACCTGTAGCGTGATTACAAATTAACATGGACAGACAGACGGACGGACATACATAGCTAAATCGGCTAAGCTCGGCGAGATAGGAAGATCCATATACAGGGTTGCCCATATTCGACGGACCCATCTGGCAACGCCATAACTTTTGACAGAGATGTCACATGGCTAATAACATACCGCGTTTGAAGCGTCAGTCCAAGCAGATTTTTACCATGAACCAATACACGCCACGCGAGCGCTCTGAAATAGTTGAAATTTACATTCAACAGAAGAAGTCAATTGTGAAAACTCAACGTGCTTTTAAATCATTAAAAAATGTGAGAAGTGCGCCTTCTAAGAACACCATTAAGCGTTCATACGAAAAATTTTCGACTATAAAAGTCGACCAAGGCGATCGGCCGAGAATATCGCTGCCGTACGAGCCAGTGTTGAGAGGTCCCCAAGAACATCCCAAAAACGCCGTTCTCAGCAGTTGGGCATGGCTCGGTCCACTTTACAACGGATTATTCGCATTGATTGGCATTTGTTCCAGCACAAAATTCAATTGACGCAAAGAATGTTGCCTGCGGACAAGCCTCGTCGATTGGAATGGGTCCAAAGAGTCATCGAAATGGCCGAAGATGACGAGCAATTTTGGAACAAAATGATCATGTCCGACGAAGCCCAAAATCCTCAGGAGATTCAAGAAGTGCCTCTTCATGACGAAAAAGTCACAGTTTGGTGCGGCGTTAGTGCGAAAACGGTTATTGGGCCGTTTTTCTTCCAAAATGAAAATAGCCATGCTGTTACCATCAATCAGGAGCGTTATCGCGACATGATGACCAATTTTGTGATGCCAATTATTCGTCGAAAGCGTATGAGGCAGTTCTGATTTCAACAAGACGGCGCTCAACCGCACACAAGTCGCTTAAAAATAGATTTTCTGAAGAATTTGTTTCCGGGTCCGTCGAATATGAGCATCCCTGTATTGTTTCCTATGTGGGAAACCAATATTTCGAGGTGTTACATAATGTTTTACCCAATCAAACTATAATACCTCCAACACATAGTGTTGTAGGGTATAAAAGCCTGTTTATTTTTGAGAAATTAGGTATTTTTATATATATTTATAATTTCATTGTCCAATAGCCATTCTGGGTTGTGG